GCAGGTGAGATCAGGGCGGGCTTCCGGGGGTGGGGTCCGGCCTAGCCTCGCGGGTAAGGAGAGACCGCACGTCCTGGGTGCGCAGCTCTACCTGGCGCCCCGCCCCTTGCCCGTCGGGCCTGACTGGGACCAGTGGCTCGGGATTTTCTAGGACCGCGAGAGGAGGGGGCCATTGGGTGCGGTGGGAACCTGTGATTGGACAGTGGGGGATCCAAAAATCTAGGTCCTGTTCTTTGTGGTCGAGGAAGGGACGGTGGAACCGGCGGCTATGAGGTTACATTCTGCGGTGCCCGTGTCTTACGGCTTCCACTCCTCCCTATCCTGGACACGTTCTTGGTTCATGATGAATTAGCAGAAATTTGGTGTTGGGAATAGGGAAGTAGTTCCTGAGGGGTAGGAGTTCAAAGGAAGTGTTTTCTAGACTTGACCATCATGCTTGGTTTCCCTCTTCTGGGGAGCAGGGCCACTAGTAAGAGTTGTGCCTGTACCTGATACTGCTGCTGTTTCTTCTGCATCCTCTTCCTCCCCATCCTCCTCCTCCCTTCCTACCCACTTCTTCCCCTCTCCTCCACTTCTCTCCACTCAAAATGCCTTTAGAGACAAGGCCATCTGGGCATGTCTGAATTTCCCTTCCTGCTCACTTTGGTGAGGTCCAGTTCATAGTGTAGACTTTTCCAGAAGTACCCATGTGGGGACACACTACATAAGTGTTTTATTAATATTAGATACCAAAAATTGGATCCCTTTAGTCATGAAAATACTAAGAACCATGAGTCTTACTCTTATTTCATGGATGAAAACTAGTTTAAACTTTTACCTTTATGCCACTAGCTTTTATCTATCAAGTAAAACGATAGTATGTACCTCCTCTCCTTGAAGAGCGAACGCATTATATTTATGTACTATGTCTTATACAAAATATAATAGAATATGTGGTTTTGCCTTATCCTACTGTGGACACAGCGAAGTCCTCAAGGTAAATGATCATCTGAGTGATCCCAAAATTGTAGTGAGGAAAACCGTATTTGCAATCAAAACTGCCTTTTGGATCAATGGCGACAGTGTGTTAGTGCTAGTTCTTACTCCTTCATGCCCTTTCCTCAGTATTGCTTCCAGGATCAACCCAGGCCCCAGTGGAAGCAGACAACACAATTTGCAAGATGGCTGAATGGAGTCAAGGACATTGGGAGAGAGACATACATTCATTTTTGTCCAGGACTTTGGACTCTATCCCTGGGCCTGTAACTGCTGAGTAAATAGATGTAAAATTAAAAACAGTTGAACCTGGGATTAGCAATAAAAAACTGCTTTGGTAAAATCTGGGCTAACAAATAGTTTTTTAATTCACAAGTCAGATGTTTATTCCTCACATGCACGCACATATATACATATGGAACAGAATGTAAAAGCTAGACAATTTGAAAATCTTAAACTTGTTTTAGAATGTATCATAGCACATATTGGCACAATTATATTTTGCTTAAGACCATAGTACAAGCTGAGGAAAAAAAATAAGTCACCCCTAATATCTATAGCTTGGAAGAAGTTAGCATCTTGACACAGTCTGTATTCTGGGGTCATTTCATTACAAAACCTGGCTGTGTTTCAGTCACCTACGGAGATTTTTAGAAATCCATGTTATGTAGCACTGGGATCTGTTTTCACAAATGCTCTCCAGATAATTATTTGACATCCTTAATCTAATTCAGCTACTTGCTATCATTGTGATTCCTTTTGTTCATATTTTTGTTGAGAAATTGTAGTAGAAAGACAAGACAGTATCAGAGAGTTGGTTTCAGTTCTCCGTCACCCACCAGCAGTGTGACGTTATGCAAGTCGCTCTTCCTGAGCCCCAGTCTCTGCCTCTGTAATGGTCTTCTGCATCCCACGGCTCACCAAAACCTTTAATTATGAGCTTTGGCTGTAAGACCATTAGTGATTGAAACATCTTTCTGTGACTTTGTAGGGCTCAGTATACAAGACAGAAATAATGAGCGGTTGGTGCAGAGCAGAATTGGGCACATGGTTCAACTTGTGAACCTTTTACATTAAAAAAAAAAAATTGAGAAAGAGGAAAAGAAAACAAAGATTGAATTCCAAATATTATAACCCATTTTTATCAGTTTTTCCATTTCTTTTTCCTGTTTATGTTTTGAGATAGTTGAAAGTCTCATTTTAAATGATATGTCTCCTATGTCGATTTGTTTCTTAATGAAAGGGGAACTTCATCTCTCATTCTCTTCAGCATCCTGGGTAACTCTGTTCCCCACACATGCCTGCTATGCTCTTCCTCATGCTATTCCCTTATCTAAATTTCCCTTCCTACCTGTCTCCATTCCAGCCCTCAGGTCCTGAAGATGTTGGGCCCACCCCTGTTCCTTTGTAAATGCTCTAGGTTCTAGCACTCTATGGTAATTACTTGTGTACAAGCATGTAATCTCCTTTCCTCCCCCGGTCTATTTGAGGATTATCCACAGTGCCTGAAATCTAAGCACTATGCATTTTAAACTCAAATGAAATACATACTTCAAAACATTTGTAAATACTTGGTCATGTTCTGTAATCTAATAATTTCAAATTAGAACTTCAGCCCAGCTCCTTTAGGAGCACTGGGGTTGCCTTGAGCCTTTCACTCCACAGCCATCAGGTTGAGATGCTTCCCTGGTCCCTGGTACTGTAGCTCTGCTGCAACCTTCCTGAGCACACCTCAGCCACTGGGACTCGCCCTGCCACTGAATTTAACATGATCTCATGCCCCTGTGACTTGTTCTTCACTTTGCCTCCAGTCACCCACCTGTGGAGTATTCAAATTGACTTAAGTGGCAGGTGTGTCACTTTTTTATCGCCCTTGATGTCAACACATTAAAAATTGGGCATAGATTCAGAAGACTTAATGGGTCAGTAATGTGTTCCTATTTTCTAAAAGTACAAAGTTGAAATGTCAGCTGACTTGGTTAAGGTCATAAAATAAAACTCTGTTTTTTATTTAAGGGATAAAAAATTCCCGTTTCACTACTGATTTCTTTAATTTTTTTTAGTGAATGGATAAAGTAGAAATCTTCATTTTAGTGTCAGATGACCAGGCAAATCTCAGAGTTCTCTCTGTGTTCCCATTTCTTCATCTTATTTATTCTATCCACAATAAGGGAGTTCAATATTAAATCTGAGCATAAAATGAAAGGAGAGTGTGTAAGTCTTTCAAGAGAGCCTCCTGACCAACCGTGAAAGCCACAAAGTCTACTTTGGATCTGAATTAAACAGATTGTCTTGGTACCTTCATCACAGGTTTCAGTGTTGCCTCTGGCCTTACAAAGTCCCTCCACACCCTGCATTTTGGCCTTCGCACAATCCAATGATAAGCTTCTGCATGAAATAAAATGGAGCTGGTAACCCAAAGCTGAGAAAAGGGCCCTGGCCATGCTTGGTAAAGCCCTTTCTGTATTCCCAAGTTAGCCACCAAGAAACTCTTTGTTAGTCAGGAGAGCTCAAGGATACATACATGACTTGCTTAATAGCTTGTCTTGTTGGTTTGGCTGTTTTGTGTTATACCCAATATTAACAATATTCATAAAGTTTTCACTCCCTTTTCCATTTCTGCTCAAAGAATACTCAATGTGATGTTTCTGGTATACCCAGAATAAATCTGTCTTGCTAAATTCGTTTTTGGTCCAATTTAATATTGGTATTTCCCATTAGTATAATAGAATGGGGGTAAGCAGTTTTGATTTTTACATATACACACACACACACAAATATACATATCCATATACACATATATATGTATGTTGGCGTTCTAAGCCTTAGCACTTTAGTAATTGGCCTATTTGAGAATGGAATATATGTGTGTATGTACGTGTGAGTGTTATGGTACTTGGTAAAAACTGGCGAAGTGCAGTAGCTCACCCCTATAAGCTTAGTGCTTTGGGAGTCCAAGGTGGGAGAATCATTTGAGGCCAGGAGTTTGAGACCAGCTTGGGCAATATAGCAAGACCCCATCTCTGGAAAGAATTACTAAAAATTAGTCAAGAACCATGGCACATGCCTGTAGTCCCAGCTCCTTGGGAGTCTGAGGCAGGAAGATTGCTTAAGCCCAGGAGTTCAAGGCCATAGCACTCTGGCCTGGGCAATAGAGCAAGACCCCGTCGCTCAAACACATACACACACATACACACACACACACACACACACTCAAATTTAATTCTGTACATTTGTTTAATAAACTTTTGGAGTATGGTGCATTTTGTAGCAAGAAAAACTTCCTTCAAAAAATTATTTACATTGTGAAAACTCTTGATCTAATACTAACCATCCTTCATTAAAATAAAATACAATCTCTTATAGGTGAAGGCATCATTTTATTACAGCCTGGAAAACATGAATTTCCATTTCGCTTTCAACTTCCATCTGAGTAAGTGAAACTGTATAATTTTATGGTTATCTTTCTCTGCAATATGTCCATCTGAATGTATCACTGCTAGGTATCTTCTGATTCTCAAGTATGCATGTTTATACTGAATAGCCCCTAAATAGACTTACTCATTTTTTATTTCCAACCTAAAACATTTTAAACCATGCTTTTTTTGGCTATGTTTAACTGAAAGTAAACTCATAATTAATGTCTTTGGTTGGTTTCAGACCTTTGGTCACCTCGTTTACTGGGAAATATGGAAGCATTCAGTACTGTGTCCGGGCAGTGTTGGAACGACCCAAGGTACCTGATCAGAGTGTAAAGAGGGAACTGCAGGTTGTTAGTCATGTCGATGTCAACACACCAGCATTACTAGTAAGTTCTTCCTTTTTCTCTTCCTCCTTCTCTTCCTCCTTCCCTCCCTTCCTCCTTCCTTTCAACAGTGGGATCTATATTTAGCCAGTTTACTGGTAGTCGGTCCTGTCACTTTCTGATGGCTTGGAAAACACAATCTTGTAACCCAAAGGCATTCACTATAAATATATGATTCTAGGTTGGACAAATTACAAATTGTGTGTGTTAATACTATTGATTATGTCCCTGCTGTTCAGGGCTTCTTTTGCCAAAAAGTTACACAGGCTTGAAATGCATTAATAAGGCTTAATAACAATAATGCACACATAGAGAGTAGTTACTTTTACCAGAGTGGCCACATTTACAGGACTGGGGTATTCTAAACTCCTCAATAATAGCAGGTTGAGGAACAGTAATTATGGAAGAGTATTAATCATGCTCAGCCTGTTATTGAAGCTCAGGCCATTATGCTATGTATCCTTCCATTTTGCATGTCATTTTCTAACATTAAGTAAGTGCATGCAGCTGCCGCCGAGATCCTTTCACTTATCATTTCCTTATGACAGATTTGGCCACATTAAAGCATTGAACTTCTAATAATCACCAGAAATACTGTAGACTGATAAGAAAGATCAGGCTATAAGTAACAACAGAATAGGCAAGATGGGAGCTAATGAGCTAGATTCTTTTATCTAAACCCATATTATCAAAATAATATAAAATTATACCTTGTACTTTCATGATAGCTACTAGGACCTAATGGTTCTTCATTTAAATATGAATGAATGATTTTTTTTACTTCATAGAAAATACTGAGATAATTTAAACTTTCCATCACGATACTGATGTGACAAAGATGTATTTTTCATGTTGGAGGTTTTTCTAGCCTGTGTTTTTGAAAGACAAGGAAAAAGCTAGCAGTTAAAAAGTTGTTGTTTAAGTCTTATTTTCGCATGAAAGAGAAATAGAATTTAATGTTCACCTTTAGATTATGAAAGGATAGCAGATATGCTGTGGTTACATGGCCTCTTGTGGTCAGAATCATAAAATAGCCAGCACCCAGCTGGCCTGGCTTATAGCTATGACTTTTTAACAGCTGCTTTAAAACCATTTTTGAAAATTGGTGATGCTAAGTAACTTGTATTTTTAAAAACTACTTAGAATTGGCAGGTTAAATATTCTTAAAGTTTTTATGACCATTGCAGGAATTGATTTAAAGGGATTTGTCTTTGCTAAAAACAGACACTGTTGATCCCTTACTATTCTTTGTATAAATAAAGAAAAAATATTGCAAGTAACTGGGTTTTACAGAAAGCTTTGGTGTGTGTAACTTGTAAACTGAACATTGTAAATCTCGTAGTAACTTCTCTTGACACTATAGAATAGAATACTATCGTGAGATAGTATATTTAATAAGCTTTTCAGATCTGTTAACACTACACGTTATTGCACTATTACACAAAACCCCAAAACCATTCCAAATTAAGAACACATGAAATTTCTGCCTGATAATGCATTTTGAAGTAAGTGATGGGAAAAGGCTGTTTGATTATTCCACTTATTAAATGCCAAAATAAATATAATGTTCTGATTATTTTTTTTATTTTTTATTTTTATATCATTTATCCTTCCACCTGACTTTTGTATATAAAGTCTTAAAAATAATTCTGTCATGTTTATAAGTACTAATACAGCTTTTGATTTTTTTAAAAAAACATGGTATATTATTTCCTGGAAACATAATTACTTCAGGATAAAATAAAATGGTGTCATACTAATTTTTGAATCTGAAAATTCACTGTGATTTTCCTAAAAGGGGGAGTCTTAACACCCTGTGTTTTTGTGCATATTTGGCCTAATATGTTACATAAGGATAAGAAAGTTTTATTCATTTTTTGGTATTTCTTTACTACCATTCTGTGAAGAAAGACATAATTTTCAGTTATATGAGTTCTCCAGAGTGGCCTAATTAAGGTTGTTTTATTGTTTGAAATTTTCAAGACCCCTGTATTGAAAACTCAAGAGAAAATGGTTGGCTGTTGGTTTTTCACTTCTGGTCCAGTCTCGCTGAGTGCCAAAATTGAAAGAAAGGGATACTGTAATGGTAAGCAAAATGCTTGAAAGTCCAAATGAAAGATTTCATTCATCTTCTTAGCTAATTTTAAGTGATTTTAAATAGTGTTTTTTGTAATTGTATGACATGTATAGTATTTTAAAACATGAGTAGTGATACATTTTTAATATAAATAATTGATATTTAAGTATTTTTAAATGGAGGAATTGTTTCCAGTCAAACTCCTGTTTTTTTCTGACTTCGATCCTGTTACTTTAGTAACAAAGAATATAACTAGAGGAATGAGAAAATGCCAGCATCTGATTTTAATCTTGCAAAAGAATCTCCAGGGTTGTGTTGCTAAGAAGAGAACTATTGGAGTATGAAATGCTATTAGACATTCTGATTCCTTGCTGGCTTGATATATGCAAATACTTGGGACTGGAATGTAGTATATTAACAAACTTAACAATCAGATTGTTACTGGAACTGCCAATAGTGAAGGGCCCATTTCCAGCAGTGGATTTGGCCCCTGCTTCAGGATTCGAACTTGTTAGAAAGGAATTCAGTATGGAATGGTATGATGTGGAGCCATAATGTTATAAAACTTGCCTAGTCCATCCGTTGATTCTTTGTGTGCCTTAACATTATTAATTCCTTAAAAGCAAAGGCTTTGTTCTCCTCTTGGGCAGATTTTAATTTGATAAGCACTAATGAGTTTGTTAGTGATCTTTTATACTTAACATAGTCCTGAATCATTTATTTGTATGTCTTATCCTAATTTATATAGACACTGGTCATTTACATATCTTTAGAATTGCTAATGCAATATTGCTACATTAGAAAAGTCAATAATGCAATAATTAGAAAATAAGATCTACCACAACCTGCAGTGAATTTTTATTTCTCTGGCTTGAATTTACAATATGTTTTCCATCAAAGCTTCTCAATTTGTTGAAGTGATGTTGGAACATTTTAGCTATATGGCCCTAATCCACTGTGGTGAGAAGTTTTCAAAGAGTCTCTGAATCCTCCCTGGTTTTGTTTTCTTTTTAGGAGAAGCTATTCCAATCTATGCAGAAATAGAGAATTGTTCCTCTCGTCTGATTGTTCCAAAGGCTGCTATTTTCCAAACCCAGACGTATTTGGCTAGTGGAAAAACAAAGACCATTCGACACATGGTTGCCAATGTGCGAGGAAACCACATCGCTTCCGGGAGCACAGACACATGGAATGGGAAAACGCTCAAAATTCCACCTGTCACTCCATCCATCCTGGATTGCTGCATTATCAGAGTGGACTATTCCTTAGCTGTAAGCAAAGCTCTTTAAAAAAAAAAAAAGTGTATGATGGACAATAACTGATGTCATGTTACTATGCATATTCAGCATTAACACCAATTGGGGATTGTATGAAGATTGGCCCTTGTTTTTAATAAAAAACTATTCCCCACAAGGGATTTAATAGAATGCCATAAAAGAATTGAGGGGCATTAAAGGGTGTTTGTTATATTGAAGACATATCCTTAATTTTCTATAATTATTATATGAGCCATGCAAACCTACCATGATGCATGTTAAGGACACAGTTCTCTGTCACAGAGCATTCACTATGTTTTGTGTACTCTTCATTTTGTTTAATCAAGACAGTTGAGAATTGTGATGAGGGTGGTGGCAGCTGACAAAAGCATTTGTTTCTATGAAAAAAGAAATTAATTGGGCTACCTACTGGAGGTGTAACTTACATTTGTTCCTTTCTCTCTCTCTCTGTCTCTCTCTTTTTTTTTTTTTTTTTTTTTTTGGCTTATTAGGTGTACATTCACATTCCTGGTGCTAAAAAATTGATGCTTGAACTGCCATTAGTGATTGGTACAATTCCATATAATGGTTTTGGCAGCAGAAACTCCAGCATTGCCAGCCAGTTCAGTATGGATATGAGCTGGTTGACACTGACCCTGCCAGAACAGCCTGAAGGTAAAATATTTTGGTGTTCTTTCATAATGAAGTTTTACCTAGAAAATATCTAAGAACAGAATATATAAGCTATGAAGTCCTCAAATGTTGATTAGTACTGCTACTCTTGGTATCTTTATTCCTACTACTAAAAAATCATAAAGCGTTAGTCCTGGGAGCGGCTTTGAACGTTTAGCTTTATCTAGGATGCAAAGCTGCTGATAGCAGATTGAGGAATAAGATGTACATTTCCTAATTCCTATTTGTAATAGGAAAACAATGAAAAATAGTCAAATGTGTGGTGTGTTACATATTTTCTGTAGTCATAGTTCAGTGATATTTGTTTACCTATATCTCAAGAGACTAGAATATAATCTATTAGTAGTAGTTTAATAAAGGGAGAAACTATTTTTTATTGTAATGTGCATAAAACCTTGCTGATTAGAGGGAAAGAATGCCATATTTTTATCTTCAAATTTAGCTGTTTCTTGTTTTTGTAACAGTTAAGAATTGAGATTAATTTTTGAGTGGATTTCTTACTCCAACTTCATTTCTATTTCAGCACCACCAAATTATGCAGATGTGGTATCAGAGGAAGAATTCTCTAGACACATTCCTTCTTACCCTCAGCCCCCTAACTGTGAGGGAGAAGTGTGCTGTCCTATGTTTGCCTGTATACAGGAATTCCGGTTTCAACCCCCACCTCTTTATGCAGAGGTAAGCAAAGGAAAAGAAAATTAGACTTTTACTGTATTATTTTCAAATCATTTTTTGTCATCCATTTATTAGAGTATCTGTTGCTGACTCGTAATTAGTAAGGGATACATTTAAATTTGTTTATACAGTGGTAATAGATTATCACTGATTCTTTTGCCAGATTTTTTTACTATTTTCCTCGTGATCTGTGGCATCATATACAGTATTGTGGATTGCCTCTAAGGTCTGTTATTTGGCCATGGAATATAGGGAACTTAAGCACCTTCTGGGACTTACTAATAGCAGGCTCTGACCAACTTGACATATAACCATCATGTAATTAGAAATAGGTACTAGAATCATTTTAAATAATGCTACAACACTAATCTCAGTCTGCTCTTTTTTTGCAGGTTGATCCACATCCTAGCGATGTAGAAGAGACCCAGCCTGTTTCCTTCATTCTCTGAACATATTTCAGAAATCACTGTGTTCATCATCAAATTAGAACGTTGGTTCTTTTCCTTCTGCCTTTTTGGGAAAGAGACAAGAAAGATTCACTTGAAAACATAAATGAATATCAAGACTGAAGGCAACAGGAATTAAAGAATGTGAGAAATTTCTAGTGGGCCGACAGGATTGCTGCACAAGTTTATATGGTGGTCATATATATATCCCTGTTAAAAACTGGGATGAAGATGTGCAAAGTCACAGAATGTAATGGAAGTCCTGATGGTTATAGAGTAAGTGAAAGGGTGCCTGCGCTGACCTGAGAGAAAGGAATCTGTCAACAGTGGAAACACTGTGGGAGTTTCCCATGGCGTTTTAAAGAGTGGAATGAAGGCGATATGAACTGAAGCGGGGAAGACTTGATTTTGGAGAGGGTAACGAAACAAGGGTGTGCATGAATAGGAAAATGGCCCACTCCAAATACAACGTGAGACCCTGAGGTTTTGGGTGCTTCATGATTTCCTATCATATTCAGGCCTAGAGGCATTGAAAGTATCTTTTCTTGAGATCATGGTCATATGAGGTCCTAATGAAGTACTACAGTTTTCATTCTTTCAAGGGTAGACTAAAACGTAGTTTATAAATTGGCAGTACAGTATTATGAAACCAAGAAAGGGTTTCTTGAAAAGCTTGTCGGTTCAAAGGGGAAAGATGAATTTCGTGTGAAAACACATTTTGTTGAAGGCTGTACTTTTTACCCCCTTTAAGTGCTTTAACAGGATATATGTTTGATTTTCCTCATATCTTATTCACCTAGGAGCATGTCAGAGAAAGAAGTGAGAGAAAAGGTTGCATCTGCAGGATGCCTTGATAACTACACAGTCCAAAATAAAAGGCCTTTTTCTAACCTACCTCTAATGGGGTTATCAGATATGTTTTTAAATCTCTCGCCTTGAGTACTCTTCTTTGGAGTTACTGCTGTTTACAGCAACTATCACTAAATATGAAACTGGGCCAAGGGGAAAATTCAGTAAGTTAGCATTAAATGGAAGTAAATATATGTATACCTAAGAGAATGTCAAAATAAACACCAAACCAAAAGAAGGTAGGAGTGCCATTTTTTAAAAAAGACACAACTTTAATTCCTGTCAAGAGACCTAGGTCTACTGATGGCAGTCACTGCATTGTACATTATTCCAGTTCTTCAGTAATTCTGTTTAAACTGTGATTTTTTCTTTATTGTGTTGGTGCAATATTTTATTATCCTTTAACCTCAGGATATTCAGACCAACAGGATTGTGTTTCTGCTAAAAGTCTGAGCAGTGTTTTACTGTCCCCAGCTCCCCTCCTACATGGTCACATGTTCACTTGCTTTTCCCTCCATCTGTTGGCTTTGTGAGCTGAGAGCATCTCTGGACACATGGAAGGGAGCCAGGGATTCCTGTGATAGAGATTTTGAACTAGCAGAGTACTTTGGTTTTCTTCATGTCCTAAGGGTTTGATCTAGAAACCCTGGTGCTTCCCCTGCAGAATATTGTACTTCATTTAACAGAATGATTGATTTTTCTTTCAATCAATGTTCACCAAAAATAGAAAAGTTCTTCTAAGGTTAAATTTTGTATTTAAAAGTTAGTTGGCCATTTGATCAGGGAATTTTCTACACACATTAGGCAAATGTATGCTTTTCACCCTCTGGGCTTACCTCTCTTCTCTGCAATCATGGAAGCATCCTGCATAGTTCTTTCATTGTAAGCCACTATACCACAATGCAAAACTGTTAGACCAGTAATTGTGCTACTGAAATTGTCACAAAACGTTATTCCTTGATTTGGTTTTTGAATTTTGCTCTTTTGTGTGTGTATCTTTAAACAGGTAATGTGTATTTAAGTGTTGTCTACACAGTTGATTTTTACTTTACAAAAGATCATCTTCAACTGTTCATTGACTTCTAAGTTGTAGTTCATGCCTTGTCAAAGCATTGTTCGACTCCATGATACTAAAACGTAATGAAAGAAACAAACTCCAGTATGGAGAGAGAGAAAGTTTAATTATTTGGCTCCATCTAGAAAAGCAACTACTTAAAGGAATCCTTCACTGGGATTATTTTGTCACCTTTTTAGATAAATCTTGAAGTGACCCTGTGAAATTGAAGTGAAACTGTCTCTGTAGGACTTAAGAGAATAGCTAAAAGGTGTGACTTGCCTTATCGAACTGATACTGGCATATCTGACCGTAAGCAGTAGGTTGAAGATATCATTTTATGAATGTGGAGAATTCTACATTGAAACAGAAAATACCTGGGAATGAAGATTAAAAATTTAGCTGCTGTTATTTGCTTGTTTATTCCCCTCTTGCCCTTCTTTAGTTTGAAAAAACAAAAACGTGGCCTTGGAATTTTCATTTTGATGCAGAAATTTTGAAATTGAAAATGTGCATGTTTTGGTGCACAAAATCCTTCTGTGGGCAAAACTCTTTGTTTTTGTTTTGCACAATAAGAAACAATAGGCAAGGGTTATGTTTTTGGTAAGTTAACTATGAAAACTTTCTTATTTTTATTATTAAAAGTGTAACAATTTAACCCACAGGAAAAAAAAATACTTTGTATACTTGTTTGAATCCCATGGGTTCGTTTTATTAATAAAATTATTACACTAATGCTATGAGTTGCTAGTTCTTTTTTTTTTTCAAATATAAATTATTATAGACTTAAGGGAACTCAATACCAAAAAAAAAAAAAAAAAAACAAATGTTGCTGCAGTTAAAATCCTTTTCTCTAGGCGTGTTATCATGAGGGAGGAACAGCCCTAGAACCTGACTTTGTTTTTACAGTGGGCTCAGTTTCCCAAGGTAGTTCTATTTTAGCATTCCATGAAGAAAAGTAGTTGAGACAAGTAAGGAAACTAAAGCCATATTGATTATAAAAAGCATATCATCATTTATTCCCAAATAATAAGGGTTAGAGCCTCCTGAGTTTGAGTGTTTGTTCTGAATCTCCCCAGGGTCGATTTAGCAGATCTCATGGGCAGTCAAGGGGTCCTTACTGGGACACACTGATGCCACCCCTTTCTACGCAGACACTCCAGTAGATATCAGTAGATATGAGCACTATATTCTATACAAGGAGGATGTAATGATATGTCATTTCAAGGAAACCGCCCAGACCCTCTGTGCTGGAAAATTGCCACCTGATCTAAGGAGTAAGAATTAGTCCAGTTGGTTTGCTCTCCAGTTATTTTTAATAGATGGTGTTACATAATAAATGGGTTCTTTCTGTATCCACATTTACAATCAACGTAAGTTGAAATATTTGTCTTATGCAATACTGAGGCAAAATTTGTGATTACCATTACGATTTCTGTAGTTTATGTGTAGTGTGAAATTTAGAACTAGGCAAGACACTGCAAAGAAACTAGGACAAAGCCCTCACATTACAAATCAGGATATCAAAACAGAGAGTTGTAACCTGAGAGCATGGACCCTGCTTGCTCTGAAATTTCCTGATTCTACAACCTTCATGAAAGTAATGGGAACAATTAATTGTTTTCAGTTACACAGTCTAAGAGTTGCAGTCCTGGTTACCTGGATACTAAACATATGCTAAATCAGGGGTCTTCAGTGTTTACACTTAAGGGCTCTGCCTCCTGAAAGGACACCAGTCTTTGACTAAATTGCTTCCAAGTGTGTTTAGTTGCCAGAATTTTTTCTTCAACAGAGATTTATGTTTCTACCTTTATATAATGAAATAATTACAGACTCACAAGAAGTTGCAATAATAGTACAAGGAAGTCTCATGTACTCATCACCCGGTCTTCCGCAATGATAACTACAGTACATTAGCAAAACCAGGACATTGAGAATACAATTTAACTAGAGCTTAGACCTTACTTGGATTTTGCCAGCCTTTGCATGCAGTCATTTCTCTTGTGTATGTTTTTGTGTACAGCTCTATGACATTTTACCTCCTGTAGAAATGCATATCGTCACCACCACCATCAAGACACATAACTGCTCCATCACTGCAAAGAAACTCCCTTGAGTTGTCCCTTTATAGTCACCGCCTCCCTCTCTCCATCTCCTTCCCTCACTCCGGCCTTCCCATCCGTTTTTCATCTTGGTAATTTTGTCATTTTGAGAATGCTAGAAAAATGGAATCATTCAGTATGTACCTTTTGAGACTGGCAGTTTTTTACTCAGCAGAACGCCTCTTAAGATCCATGCAGATTGCCCCGTGCATCAATAGTTTGTTTCTTTGTATTTTAATGGAGACATTTTACAGCAAACAGAATCGACTACTTCTGAAATTTTCATTATGCACTTTGCAAAGAAAATGTGTGACATCGATAAGCACATGATACCTTTGTAAATATTTTGATTTTGAGTTTGAGAACTTTTTATGTAGAAAATATATAAATGCAGATTGATACACATTTTTAGGGCTAATGTTTAGCTTGTCAAATACTTGAAGTATTTTGCCTTTAAACAGAAAGAAATTACATTATCAATGAGCCAGATAGACCTGCGATGATATTAGACAACAAGGAGAAACTATATCAGCTTCTGAGTCTGATAAATTTTAACACAAATTATCCAGGAAAGAGACTACAGTTGCCTGGTGTGATTGTGTATTACATTTTGTGAATTTTTTTCCTTCTTTTCTGTTTCTTCTTTAATTCCTTCGTTCATACTCCCACTTCTTAATATTTGATGAAATGGAAAGACCACTCAGAAGCTGAGAAAAGTTTTTAATTACAATATATGTATTTATTCCTAACGAAACAATACTATAAAACATGGGCTTAACTGCTAAGACTATTAAATTTTTCTACAAAGAAGAGCTCTTATTTTACAGAAGCCGTTACACAGTAATGTTTCCCAAAAACCAGACATGAGTTTGTTGGTGATGAGAAGCAACAGCAAAAGAAAGACACTGAGACAGGGTGGAGGTGGATAGAAAGGGTTGACCGGTGTCAACTTCTAGAATGTCACTATAACTGAATTCACCATGAACTGTCTCTTTGGTGGAGCTTTCTGTGTTCATTGATGGAGATTTCACCATCCCTGATGAATTTTCAGGGAACCGAGATGTCTTGCTGAACAGGAAGAGACATGCTTTAGGCAGCTTCTCCCACTGGAAACAAGGAAAGCATAGGTGCTTCCCATGTGTTTGCAAACACCTGCCACATACGTGCACACACACACATACGCACTCACAAACACTGTTATTTCTTCCTCTCCTCCACACCTTTTACCTCCACAGCTGGGGTCTATTTCAGGTAAGAATTTAAGCTCCATTATAAAAGGAAGAAACAGATAATAGCTTCCTACTTCCACAGGAATTTATTGGAAGAGGAGACTTTTGCCCCCAGCTTCTTACTAGTTTGCCCCCAAACAGCACGAGACTAGTAGAAAGGTATCAGGGAATTGTAATTAAATGAGAAAATGGTGGGAAATAGATGCCCTAAGTTTATGTTTTTCTTTTTTAAAAGAAGTCACTGCATGGTATAATAGTCATTTCTCCATGCTGCCCCAGTCTTATAGATCCTAATTTTAATGACTAAAGGACATAAAGTGTTCCAGACCAAAATAATAATGACTACATTATTTACAGCTCACACATCTAGTATTGACTGTGTTCTTTACAAATACGCAGTCACTTTCCCATAACATGAAGGTTTCCGTGGTATTTTTTTATTTTGCTTTTTAAATCTTAGATGACAGAATCCATCTGATTATCCACATGGCAAGTGTTCTATATGTGATCGCTTATTCGTATTTGCTACCACTGCAAATATTTGGACTTGCCAGAACTGGTTGATTGAGTTGATTCAGTAACATCTAAAGATTTAGTGTCTACAGTTTAATTAGCTTCTTTCAAAACACAGCACACGAATGCACACACACGGACACACAAGGCATGCACTCATGTGCACACAGACATGCACTCACACACAGATAGATGCTCTGTTTATTGGCTGGAGATTTCACCCCTTGGGCAAGAAAACTCATCAAAAATTTCATTGTTTATACACCTGGGAATCAAGAGAGGGCACGTTATCAACATTGATTCATCTCACTACTGGAAGAACACAGAGCTCTAGCCTTATTTTTAGTAGTTGCTGTATTGGTGGGTGGTAAACAGATAAGGAATAAGGAAGAGTCCAACAAAACAATTCCATATTTCACACACCTTCTAAATCACTGCAGCACAGGAAGCCAGATTCAATACCCTACTATTAAACTGGAATAGCAAGGTGTAAGATGGATCTAGGATCACATGTGAGCACATTTGAGAAACTGCACTGAGGGTTCACAGTTTCTGAGTTTTGCTACAGATCTGTTCTAATACTTCCAACAAAGCTCAGATTATGGAAAAACAGCTTAGGAACATAAACACTTTCCTAACTTCTTTCTCCTGCTTAAATTAAAACAAAGATGTATATGTAAGTATGCATACTCATGGGAGGAGTGTGATATTGAGCTTAGTCTCTAGTTTCCTTTATCTTCCTTAGTGAAGTGGCATCGTTCATCTGGGATAACACCTGAGGTTCGTTGCCTCACGCCAAGGAAATCAAGGACACAGACACACAAGGAGTGAGGTTAAGAGCAGAGGTTTAACAGGTGAAAGAAAGAGAAAAGCTCTCTCTGCTGTAGAGACAGAGGAGCTCCCGAGTAGGTCTTCCAGTTCCGTGGTGAAATGCATGGGATTTTATACAGGAGCTTGAGGAGGCAGTGTCTGATTTACATAGGGTACGAGAGATTGGTCAGACCAGGCATGTCATTTGCATAGTGCAAGAAGCTGGCCAGCCCACTGTAATCTTCTATTATGCAGCTGGGTTCTCTACCTGGCCAGCGCCATGTTGCCTGCTTCATTGCTGTACATGTGGTTGACAAAGAAAAGGGAAGATAGAGCCTCCATGTTGAACATGCCTGGCCCCCAGGTAGCCTTTTCCCATTGGCACGGCTACCGGCATTCACCCATGCAAGCTTCTATCTTGCTTTTCTATGTCAGCAGCTTGATTTTTCAGGCTGCTCTTTGTTAGAAAAGAAATGATTTGGGGGCTGCTTTTTCTTAAAAAGGAAACCTTGACAAAGACTCTCTTACCCTCACTAACTGCCTAAATAATTTCTTTATAGTTCCCGTATCATTAGGAGAGGACAAAGCCAAAGATTGATGGTAAACCTCTCTTAAGAGAACCTCTGTGTACAGAGGTAGATTTAAAAGCAAATTTCAATATGTGTTATTTCATCCTTAATTCAACCATCTGGCCCTCTTATATAAAAGTGGAATACTGCTTATCAGGGGAAACTGTAGCAGCAAATACTTACTTTTATCTCATCTGACATAACAAAAAATCTTGGTCATTATGTCAAAAGATAACTGATCTCAAACATGTGTGGCTGCAAACACCAACAGCTGTTCCTGTAAGAGAGTGGCAGGATTACATCAGATAAATGCAGTGTTTTTAAGAAAATTCGTAAAGCCTTTTTAAGACAACCAGAATTATCCTCCCAAGAACAAAACAAAAATAAATCCCTTTGCTAATGGGAAGATATTTAAAACAGTATCTACATTGAATAGGGAGACTTCTAATGGTCTCAGACTTGTTGCTAAACACAACAGGGAAGTCTTCTGGGGAGAACTACATTGGTGGAAGCCAGG